CAGCATATGGTGGCCCTCCAAATCGGAACATCACGGTGGCCTTCCGTTTCAGCTCCTTGTTTTCCGCCTTTAGCACACTTATCTCTGTTCGCGCATCCTTATACATGCGTTGGAGCAGAGCCAGTTGGGCGTTTAACTGCTGCACCTCATTTGTCCTACTCTGCAGTCGGTTCGACAAATTTGTAACCGCAGTCATGGTTTCCACACATGACATCAATGTATACTGATTGGCCTCCACATCCGACTGCACTGCCATTCTTTGCTCCACCGACCGCATCGGAAAGTTCAACGGAGCAAACCCAGAGGTGTTTGGTTGAGGTTCACGGGCCTCCGCACCAGTTATCTCTCTTGTTGACTCGTTGAGGTCGGGAAAGAGAGTGAGTAGACCACGGGATGAAGAGGCCATATTCTGGGTAGCTGAACGGGAAGAAGAGGCCATGTTTTTTGGGTTGCTGAGTGTTTCAGCGAAATAGCAATTTCAGACTGATAATGTTCGGAAGGGGAGTGTTTCAAGATTTGCAGCTCTTAGAGGCAATCTCTCAGAAAACGAATCTCTCTCAGAAAATGAAGAGTTTTTCAGAAGTTTTTTCCCAGGTTTTTTTTTTGTCTTCGCTTCTGCCTCAAGCACAGCCTCCGCCTCAGTTTATAAAGACCCTGACGAAGAGGCAGACACGCGCATCATGCGCCGCTCGGCGCTCGACGCCAACCTGGACACACCTTTTGATGGCACGCCTTTTGATGGCACGCCTTTTGAAAGATTGGGCACACCTTTTGAGGGTGCGACTTTTTAAGGGTTCGACAAGATTCTGTAAACTGTCCCGACATTGATTCCGGTTAGTTTCTACAAGGGTCCGACAAGACTCTGTAAACTGTCCCGACATTGATTCCGGTTAGCTCCTTCATGGGTGCGACAAGACTTTGTAAACTGTCCCGACATTAATTCCGGTTAGTTTCTACAAGGGTCCAGCAAGACTCCGTAAACTGTCACAACAACACCGCCATACAGTGTCCTCTACAACGTTATGACACCACCATCCAGTGTCTTCACCAATGGTCTGACACGACCATACAGTGTCTCCTATCCTCTTTTATTTTTATGTATTTTCTTGTTTTGTTACTCTCTCCAAACTCAAGTTGGTTAGTTTCTATCCTCCTTGAGTTTGCGGGGGGCTGTTAAAATTTACCATCACCTACCACCAATTTACCATTCCCTACCACCACCTACTCCTCACCTACTACACTCACCCTCTCCTATATAATGAGCCACTCACCATTTGTAATATAGACAACATAAATTAATCAATAATACATCATTATTAACAGTTGTTTCCACCTACTTGATCACATTGTCATAATAATGAAAGTTGAAGAGGTTACATAGATAAATTAAAAGTTGAGGTTCATTTTGGTATATAGTTTACAATAAAAATACAAAAAAATCTGAAGTTAATAGGAGGCATATTGTATAAATTAGTATTTGCTTCCAGGAATATTTTGTCAGCTATTTTTTTTTTGTTAAACATAATTTGTGCAAGGCTGGAAACTTGACCCCAGGACCCGCTGTGCTAGGATTGACTTATAAGTGATGAATGATTGTAGTCTAACCTGTGAGGTCAGCTTGAATGGTAAGTTGCCAAGGTCTATGCAAGAGGTCTTAGGTTCAAGTCTCGATATCCTACTTCACCCAATGTGTGAGATTGGTGGGTGGTCGCACATATCCCAAGTTTGCGCTCATGGGGTGGGTTTGAAGGGCCCTCTTGCCTAGGATTGGTTATCGGTTATCAAAAAAAGAAAATAAATAAAATGAAAGATTGTTGTTAGTATTTTAATCATTGTCTTAAAATACTGTTGAAAGCTAATTGATATTTTATTTAGGATAACTGGATATATATATATTGTCCTTCCTGGGCATCTGCTGTCTTAAACTCCATATATACATGTTTATGTACATATCTATATGCATATTTATTTGTTTATTATGCTTTGGATAAGTTGCACCCCCTAGTCCAAATATGTGAACTGTCTTTCTTGATTTCATCAATTTGAAATGCCTAATGATTGTTTTACAAAAGAAAAAGGGAGCAGCAAAGTAGATCTCCAATTGCAAAGCTTTTCAAATAACAAATTGCTTTTAAAAGTTCTAGTTGATAACTTATTAAGTATTCAATATTAATAACAAATTTTCAAAACTGCCCTGATGCATATTGTTTGATAAGGATTATACAACTATGCTGCTGCTTTACACTACTATGTTGCATTGATTTACCAAAACAACTATGTTGCCTTATTTAATTATTACCTAGGTGCCATGTTTCTCTAATTTATTTTTTTGTTCTGTATCTATATGCTACTGGTGTGGTAGAACCTTAAACTTACCATGTTGCTTTGATAGTTACTTTATTGCCACATGATGTGAAAAGTACCACATTGCATTGAAATATTGTCTGGCATGGTGTTAACCTAACATGTTACATTACATTTAACAATTTATTCTGTACCTTCACTTATGGGCACAGCCGTTTTTGTTTTTATTTTCATTTGGAATGTTTTGTTATTTTTAATTGCTAATTAGCCTACTATAAATTTTGTTTCTTTGATAATTATAACTGCCTCAATAAATATATATATATATATATATGTATATATATTATATTATATGTTTGTATATATTGGGTAAGTAGCAGCCCTCATGTGTAAAGATCGCAGCAGCTGCCTTGGATTATGGTTTTGCTATGCCTTAACTGCAATTCTTCATATTACAAACAATTTAGTTGCCGCAATGTATGGAAACTACAAAGTCGCTAAAGAAGATTGTTGCCTAAGTGCCATGTTGCCATTATTGATGGTTTGTTTTAATATATGGACTCTTTCTTGTTGCTTTATGCACAATTTGGTAGACCTTAAACTGCCATCTATTCTAGTTAGTACTATTGTTTGGTGGGACTCGAAATTGTTGTTTTGATATGTGGTCGCATTAGTGCATTATTGCTAATTGATGGCTGCCTTGTTATGCTGAGTACCATGCCACCTCAAAGTAAGGTTATATGGGCCTTAATTTATCATGTTACCTCGGTAGGCAGTTATGTTGCCTCCATTAATGGGAACTACCATATTGTCTAATGAGATTGTTGCTTCGATGGCTTGCCTGTTGATTTCTTCAAAGCTACATTATTGCATCTAAGTTTAAGCAGAGACTTGAACTGTTTTGTTGCCTAGATGGCTGTCCTTAAAACTAGCCTGTTGGTTAGGGGGGGTTTAGATACAGGATATCATAAAAGTTAATGTGCATAAAAGTATTCATATATATATATATATATAAATTTAGACATTTCATGACGGAACGTGTTTTTTGATATGTAAAACTCGGGATAATTTTACTCAACTTGATCAATGAACAGTCATGGCTTCTAGCTCCTGGTAATAATGTAATAGGTCAATTCTTATTCCAAGCTTGAGGTTGTGGGTTCAAACATGAGCGTAACCACTTTGTGCAAAATTGGCCAAAGGTTAGATCTATACCCAATCTACCCCCTCCCAAACCCCCATCCAATCAGGACAGAGCTAGGCATTCTTTTTTAATTGATTCGTATGTATCATATCCTCGCATTTGAAGACTATTTTTTTTTGGTAAGTTAGACACAAATCACAATTTTTTTTTGAATTTTCTGATATGCAAAACACAAATCACAATCTTCATTGACCAACAAACAGTCAAGGCTTCCTGCATTTCATCATAATGCATCATATGCTCACTTTTGGAGACTTGATCAACACCTTTTATTTCATCATCATGTAAACTTGTTATTAACTCACACGAGGCTGTTGTTAGTGGTTTGAATGTCATGTGCATTTGAAGTCTATCTCTTTGTATGGAAATCTATGTCATTCTAATGATTCAATGAATGCCTATTTTCATCTTCTTGCATCCAGAATGCTTGGTTATGAGGGGATGGAAGTAATTAATCCTGAGGGAGGCAAGGATGATGCTGAAGAGGAAGCTCAGAGAGGAAGATGGAAGCAGGAGGTGAGTTGTGTTATTCTCTTTCTCTCAAGATACGAAGCTTTTTTACTGAAAGTATTTTTACATTATCAAAATTTTAGAAAGAAAAGAGTGTTATATATATAAAAAAGCTTTGTGAAGATTAAATATTGGCCCACAAGTAAGCTGGTTTGTGTATTTTTCTTAAATGTAGAATTGTTTGTTGCTTTGTAACATCACCACAGCATGAGTTTGCAGTCCTGACAAACAAGTCTTGTTCTGGAAAACTTACTTCAACCTATATCAACTATAATAGCATATATATAATCCTCTGTATTTGGAATGGCAGGTATCCCAGTTTGGTAATTTACTGTACTGTTTTGTCAGTGTGTAGTGGAATAATTCCAAGTTCAATTTTTCTGTCATTATGAGGATTTGCCTTGTTAGATATCTAGTCACATATTTTTCTAGGTAAATAGGCTAGAGGTTATCATTGGTGATATTTGCGATTAGAGAGGAGGCAATGGTCTCCATAAGAACTTTCTCTTTCTTTTGATTGCTTGTGTATATCTTAGGTTCCCATGCTATTGAAAGTCAACTACATTGAAATTTCTTTATTTTATGCATGCTGAAATCATTTTTTTCTCAAAGGAAAGGGATAGTTATTGGAAGATGATGCACAAGTATATAGGGTCGGATGTGACATCAATGGTGACACTTCCAGTCCTTATATTTGAGCCAATGACAATGATTCAAAAAATGGCCGAGGTTTGTGTCATTTTCTTTGCATATGTTTACTGCTAATTTCATTACTCTTTATAACTTTCATGATCCAAATTGTGAGACTGTTGTGACAGTTAATGGAATACTCCTACCTTCTAGACCAGGCAGATGAATGTGAGGATCCCTACATGCGGCTGGTGTCGCGGTTGGTGTATGCTTGTGAGTATAATCCTGACTGGAATATCGAATGATGGGGGTGAATATCTGTTGATTTAGTGTAGTCTTGACTTGAAAATCCAATAATGGGGGTGAATATCTGTTGATTTAGTAGTGTCTATGCATTTGATGTCTGATGAATAAGTATAGTCTATGCAAGTGTTATAGATACGAAACTTGTGATTTATGCAGCATCATGGGCAATATCTGTCTATTATGCCTACCAACGCACCTGGAAGCCTTTTAACCCCATTCTGGGCGAGACTTATGAAATGGTTAATCATGGTGGAATGGCATTCGTTGCTGAGCAGGTGAATTAAGGATCTTGACTTGCTCTATGTTCTCTTTCATCCCCATCTGGTTGCCTTCCCTCTTTTTCCTTTTTGAAGGCTGTATGCACATTCTAGAAGAATCTACGAATATTTTTTGCTTCTCAAACTCTACAAAGCCTGATGGTTTTTGCTCAAGCAAGAAAAGCAAAAAACAAAGAAAGCCCAAATCATAAATCTATTCTTAAAAATAAAAAAATAAAAAATTTATAAATTCACTTATGAATCAATGCTTCTGAATTATTCTTGTTCGCTAAACTGAATCACATCTACGCTCGTTACAGGTGAGTCATCATCCACCAATGAGTGCTGGACATGCTGAAAATGAGCATTTCACATATGATGTGACATCAAAGTTGAAAACCAAATTTTTAGGGAACTCTCTTGATGTTTACCCCGTTGGAAGGTAAGTTTTGTTTTTTGGTTTGTGATAAGTTATTACAATATTAAGATTTGATGTAGTTCAACATTTTTATCAGTCAATGCTGACCCTGTGGAAGTGGAACGCTTTGATGTATGTTTGTATGATTCTGTCAATTCATATAAGAGGGGAATTTTGGTGAGTAAGTTTTTGGTAATGGAGGGAAGTACTATGGTAGAGTTCACTTACAATCATTATAACTTACTGGTCTATTTCCTGCCATTCCAGAGCTAATACATTCCTCATTCTTATTTCTGTAATTAACCTTCAAGGAACTTCTTGTATTGGTTTTGCATTGCTTGTTTTGATATTTTATCAATTTTCAAAATGAACTTTTCATGTTCATTTAAGCCCATATAAATCTTATGAAGAAAAATTGTTTTAACATTTATTTCATATGCAGAACATGTATAACACTAAAACGAGATGGTGTAGTGCTCGATTTGGTTCCCCCTCCCACTAAGGTTAACAATTTGATTTTTGGACGAACTTGGGTAGATTCACCAGGAGAAATGGTCATGACGAATTTGACTACTGGGGACAAAGTTGTCCTTTACTTTCAACCTTGTGGTTGGTTTGGGTATGTTGATGTCTCTCTTTCTAACTTTCTGATTGCTAATTGTTTTGACATTTTTGGTTTTGATCAATGATATTCTTATGATTGTTTTGTAATTTTTAATTTTATGCCATGATTAAATGTGGATTTTGGGATAGAGTTATTAACCGATGGAAGTCTTGGGAAAATGTTTTTGACTTCCATGCATGAAAATAAAGAATATTTTTGAATATTTTTCTTCACCTCTTTTTAGCTTGTTCATTGATTTTGATTTTTGACATTTGCCTCTTCAATCCTGATCTTTATAATTACTGCCACCTAATCTCTTCATTGGCCAATGTTGTTTTGTTAGGCCATTGTTGGGTAATAAAGATGGCTTCCTATGTGAGTTCAATTGGGTGTACTCCAAAGCTGCTACAACTAAATGAAACCAAAAGTAAAGCTTTGTTTCTTAATTTTTAGGGCTAATGGTGTCTAATTTGCTGTGCTTCAATGCAGGGCTGGTCGTTATGAAGTGGATGGATACGTATACAATGCTGCTGAGGAACCTAAGCTATTGATGACTGGAAAATGGAACGAGTCAATGAGTTATCAACCATGTGACATGGAAGGGGAACCTCTTCCGGGCACAGAACTGAAAGAGGTTTGTTTCATTAATCGTTTTATCATCTTTCATTTTCCACTTGTGAGTGCTTTTTGTGCTTAAGTCACCATGATGCTAAATGGGGGCTGCTGGACTGGCATGTCATAATCACATGGCAGTGCAATAACATAATTCTCAATGCTTGTGATGATGGTCCCGCTATCTTGCATTTTTACGTGTCCTGACTGAGGATGAATAATTTTCTCTCATGAAATTGTACTCACCTTTAATTATTACATGTTCAGTCTGCTATATAAACATATTGTTTTAAGGTCAGTTATGGTGCTATCTCCCTAGAATACGGTAGGGGGCATGGAGTGCTGGCATAATCATTGGTTAAGACAGGCCCGGCCTAGTCCGAGCCCAATTTTGTAATTTATGTGTTTTTAATTCCTTCATCAATAGGTCAGATTTATTGAATGCTGTACTGATCTTCTCTTCCATCCAAAGGAAACTTTCAAAAAATAAAAAGTGATCATAGCGTCTTTGGTTAAAAACTATTCTCACAGTGAGATGATTAGAAAGAGCTATCACCTTTTGTTTGTTGCTTTTAATAAGGAAACTGGTTCATATTGATGAAGCATTTATTAACACGTTGAATGGCTGTCTAAGAGTTGGAAATTATAGAAAATGGGCTACTTGTAAATGGCTTTTTTGGTAGTGACAATAGTTCTCCCTATTACATCTCTAATCTCTTGAGAGTTTCTGATAAATTAAAGATGCGATAGGGAGGAGGGTACTTGCATGCAACAGTTTCAAGTGAGAACAGTGCAATTAGGTTCTGGTGGCTATTTGCCATGTAGTTTCTCTTGGTGAGTTGGGAGAGGATGGTAATTTATCTCCTACTTAGTGAGTAATTGTTGAGAGAAATTTTAAGTAATTCAATCTTCAAATTGAATTCATACTGCTGTGGTGGCTAGACACGTGCTTGGTGATCGATAATTGATCTTGTTTTATTTTTTCATGACATTTAAATAAATTGTGTGTAATTTGAGTTATTTATGTTTCTGGCAATAGTTTTCCTTTGTGGTATGGGTTCCTTTTTGCACAATTGAAAATTTTCTTGGAATGAAGCTGAACAATCTAACCAAATATCACGATCACAAGCTTAATATATTTTTAGGGAATACTCCCTCCATGTAAACTATCTGAAGAAGTTAACATATGATGGGCATAATGATTAAGGGGTTGCAATGTGTAATTAGACACTAAGAAAATATTCCTCGTTGATGCCCAGCTTACTTGAGTTTTAGCTATTAGCAAAACAAATTAACACGATTTTTCTGCAGGTTTGGCGACTTGCTGCTACCCCAGGGAACGACAAATTTCAGTACACATATTTTGCTCATAAAATAAACAGTTTTGAAACTGCTCCTAGGAAGTTGTTGGCATCGGATTCTCGCTTACGTCCTGATAGATGTGCACTCGAGAACGGTGATCTATCCAAAGCTGGCGCTGAGAAGAGCAGGTCTCTCTCTCTCTCTCTCTATATATATATATATGTGTCAAGGTCTGTATGAGGTTTCGAGTGACATCATTTATGTGCCATGAACCATCATCATGATAAATGCCTGGAAAGAAAGTAGTGGACTTCGTTTTCCAGCTGACATCATTTACACATTTCATTTGTTTTTACGTGCTGATTTTGCACTTCTGCCTATATCTGAACTTGTTTTTGTCATGTGGTTGGGTGTGTGAAGGCATAGAGGTACATCATTTACTTGGCTTTGTGGGCATGTAGTTGTAATCATTGTCCTATAGATCATATGAACATGGTATGCCAACATGGCAGAGGACCTAAATAGGTAATAATGGGTATAAGTTGAAGGCTTCAAGACTGTAGGAATGAATTTGTTGTGCAACCATTGTACTTGATTTGGTGACCTAAATGCTAGGCTTGTAGCACTTGTTGTCTTAGTCAGTTAACCACTCCAGCACTTGAATTGAAGTGATACTTTTGTTTCCTTCAGGCACTTGGAACTTCTCCAATACTTTCCTTCATCATTTTTTTGATGAAAAAATGCCTAAAAAGTGCTCCAACCATTTCATCAAATTTGTATCAAATCAAGGGAAAGACAATTTTTTCACAAAATCAAGGATGAACCAAGTCCTTAACCAAATTTCCAAGTCATATTTTTACTCAAATTTGATGAAATTTTAAAAAGAGTAAAGGATTGGAGATGATTTTCTTTCATAAAAAATTGTTTTAGACAGATTTTTAAGATTTAGTTTGGAATTTTTCAAAAAGATTTGATGAAAACAAGAGAGTAAGGATTGGAGTGGTTCGTATCAGATCAAGCTTCTAACCTTTTCATATCATCTGCATGCATTGCTGCTAGCAAAATATGTCGAAATGTGATACTTAAATGTCTCATTGGCAAACCTGAAAAGACCAATTAGGCATCTAGATGTTCTGTGAGTTTCTTGTTTGTGCTCACATGCAGATGATGTTATTTATGTTACATTCTAGCTTGTCCCTTAGAGCATACCCTGGCGGCTTAGGTTGCATTTCCCAAATAATGAGACTCAAGTTCGAGTCTCCTCAACTTACCTATAGAAAATATTTTGTTTAAGCTTTTCCGCTTGAACTTGAGTGATAAAGGATGGAAATGAAGAGAGAGATGCATTTTCTCATGTTTGGTTTACAAGTTAGGTGAAAAATGATGAGAAATGGATAAAAAGAAAACTATTTTATTTTATAGGTTTCTTTTCTCACCAAAAATTGATGTGATTTGGTGAGAGACAAACTGATTGATTGTGTATTTTTTCTAATACCAAGATTGCCCACAAAAGAAGAAAAAGAAATTCACATACTTTGTTTTTTGCAGTGAGAAAACACAATCACTTCTTTTCTCATGAGAAACAAACTAAATCCTTTTCAGATTGCTGAAAGACTGAAGAAAATTCCATGAAATTCAATTCTCTTCACCACTTCCACCTGCCTTTCTTGTTGGTCGAATTTTTTTTAGCTCTTAACGTTGTTTGTATTCTATTCATTATTCATTTGCAGTCTCGAGGAGAGGCAGAGAGCTGAAAAGAGGCTTCGAGATGCGAAGGGCCATCAGTTTGCGCCAAGATGGTTTGATCTAACCGATGAAATTAGGCCTACTCCTTGGGGAGACTTGGAAGTGTACCAGTACAATGGTAAATACACTGAACATCGGGCTACTGTGGATAGATCTGCCATCACAGGCGAGGATGATGTCAAATCGACAGACTTCAACCCATGGCAGTATGGTAATTTGTCTGCGGAGTGAGGTAATCCCATTGCTATGTTGTTTTTCGATTGTGTACTATAGTCATTTGACGGCATTTTTGTGTGATAGGAAGCTGTGTGTTGTTTGTTGGCCATCATGTGTGTACATTGTATCATTTGTTGTAATCTTATATACTAGTTGAACCTTTAGAGGCCTATTTTCTGAGACAATTTCGTATTGCTTATTATCTCTCTCTCTCTCTCTCATTGATGAGGAACCCTACCCCACACATACAGTCATCACTTGTTTTCCTTAATAATAGGAAGCGTGTGGGAAATGATAGGAAACTAGAGAAGAGATAAAAATGGTAATGCTTTCGTGAAATTGTTCATTCTATTTCACTGTACTATTGCAAAGTTCTGTCTTGCCTTGGAGTTGGACCATGAGAGCTTGTAATTACATCTCGTGACGTGTGCATTCAATACAATGATGATATCGACCCTTTTGGTGTCTATGTTTGTGTTTGTATATAATCTCATAATTTCTGGGCGCCCTCTGTGTTGATGTATTCTGGTAGTTTAGATTTTAGTTTGCAGCTAGCTAGTGTTATTTGGTGTAATCTAGCAAAGCCATGCATGCATGGGTTCAACCCCGCATGTTATTAGGCTTTTGGATATTGTTTAGGCCGGAGACCTGGTTCTAGATTTTTTTGAAAAAAAAATACGTCGTCATGAATTTTTTTCTCCCTCAATGTCATGACTGCGGTATAACATTGTTGAAACAAAAAAAAAAGAAAAGAAAAAAATCTTGTGTTGATCTGCTTGTATTTATGGTCCAGGTTACAACTGAAGTACAAAATAGTGAACTACCTGTATTTACATGATATTTTGGGGTATTTACGTATTATTCTTAATAAGTAGGCTTATTGTCTAATAGATTTTATGAAAAAAATTGTCATAAAAAGTTACTAATTGTAAATTTTAGTGACAATTTATAAAAATCATGACAAAAAAAAGTTACTGATTGTAAATTTTTAGTGACGTATATAAAAAAAAAAAAATTTAGCTATAATTTTATTAAGATTTATTTTCAATAAGGCTTGGTGGGAATTAAGTCTAATTATTATGACTTATTGATAATTTATCCTGATATTTATGGTGCTTATAATTTTACTATTTTTAAGCTTTTGGTGGACTCTTTTATCATTTTTAAAATTGTAAGCGATCTTAGTTATTTAATGTTTAGACTTACATATAACTAAATAGTAATTATCCAAGTCTCGGACAATCGGACTCATCTTTCTTTGTATTTCATTATCTATGCTGTTATATTAAGTAAAATGTTGGATTTAGCCTCTGTTTGGCAAGTTGGTTCTTGGGTTTTTTTGGCTATTTTAGTCACAAAAGACAAAATAGGCTATTTTAGCCATAACAAACAAAACATCACATCCAACCCATAATCATTACATTCTTCTCTCACAAAAAAATTCAAAAAGCCAAAAAGCTAAAAAGTCCTTCCCAAACCAAGCTTTTAAGCCCAGGCTAAAATAGTCAAAAAAAGTCAAAAAGTCAACCCACTTCCCAAACAGAGATATTCAAGTTTTTATTTGTTTTTTCTTATTTTACGTGTCAAATATTTTTTTATTTAAAAAATAATAATAATAATAATAGATGAGGAAGTGGGACTCTGTTGAACCACGCTGGCGTTGGGCATAGATTCACCAGGTCATGGTTTACGGCTCTTCAAAATAGATAAAAAAAGGGCCTCATTCTATTATAGTTTAGTATAATATATTAGATATGTTTTAAGTTCAAAAAGAATAAAGAAGGTCCAAATTAACTTAAAATAAATGGACTTATTAAAAAATTAAAGGACCCCATTCAAAATTAAAAGTATTCATTCTCTCTCACTATCTAATTCTTAACACTAACTTTTAATTCAATTTTCTAAAAAATTTGAGAGAAGCGGCACAACAGATTACTAACGAATTTCTCAATAATTCAGAGCAAGTATGATTGATTTATTTGCTTTTAAAAACGTAAGAAGAACGAGGATCAAGTGATAGTTATTAGTTGTTGTAATGTAATGTTAAGTATTTTTTTGTGATTTTGACACCAATCTTTTATCATTTACCTTTAAAAAAAATTTCGCTGAATGGAAGGCCGGAGACCTGGTTCTAGATTTTTTTGAAAAAAAAATACGTCGTCATGAATTTTTTTCTCCCTCAATGTCATGACTGCGGTATAACAGTGTTGAAACAAAAAAAAAAAAGAGAAAAGAAAAGAAAAATCTTGTGTTGATCTGCTTGTATTTATGGTCCAGGTTACAACTGAAGCACAAAATAGTGAATTACCTGTGTTTACATGATATTTTGGGGTATTTACGTGTTACTCTTAATAAGTAGGCTTATTGTCTAATAGGTTCTATGAAAAAAATGTCATAAAAAGTTACTAATTGTAAATTTTAGTGACAATTTATAAAAATCAGGACAAAAAAGTTACTGATTATCAATTTTTAGCGACGTATATAAAAAATTATCAAAAAAAAAAAAATTTTAGCTACAATTTTATTAAGATTTATTTTCAATAAGGCTTTGTGGGAATTAAGTCCAACTATTAGGACTTATTGATAATTTATCCTGATATTTATGGTGCTTATAATTTTACTATTTTTAAGCTTTTGGTGGACTCTTTTATCATTTTTAAAATTGTAAGCGTTCTTATTTATTTAATGTTTAGACTTACATCTATACTATTATTAAAAGCCAACAACTATTTTGGTGTCTTGAAGCCATGTTCTCATAATTTTTTACTAATTTTTCTAAAATAACCTTAACTTCTTCAATGTATAATTAAGGATAAAATCATAAATTATTAACTCACAAAATATAACTTCCCATATTGAATAACTTTCCATGTTCAATAACTTCTTTCAACTTCTATCTTCTTTCAACCCCACCATACCGCTTTGCCACCTCTATTGCATGCTTTTGTTCATTTCCCTCTCTTCTGCATGCTTTTGTTCATTTCCCTCTCTTCGCTCCTTCCTCTCCTTCCTTTCTTCTCTGTCCCCAAACCCAAACTACACAGAAAGAAAAGAGAAAAAAGGAAAAAGAAAGAGTAGAGATAACCAAGAAGAAGAAATCAGTTTCCATGGCTGTTGAAGCACACCATCTTAATCTCGATGGCGTTTGTATCCAAGGGAATACAAGTTTAGGCTCTTTGATGTAATTGTTTGCGAGACATGCTTTAAATTTGAATCATGTATGTATGAGAAATTTTTGTATGGATTATATATAAACGTTACATTGTAAATTGAAATTTTTGTATAGATTATACACGCACATCCACAATACGAGACCCGTCACAAACACCGAAACCACCACCATCATCATCAACGCCGCGAAGATCGTAAGGCCCACATTTCTCCTCGAAACCAAACACTGCGCAATCGCTAACCCCCTCATCACTTCCATCTTCCTCAGCAACCATAAGTACCGAATCACCCGGTGGTCATTGTGGTCGTAATCGTAATCGTAATCGTAATCTACTCCGTTTAACAAAAAACAATTTGATGATTTCTCGCAATCCATGAAATTTGCGACGCGGCGATGGGCGGCGGTGTGTACTCTAGGACTGGCGTTAGCGGTGGTGGCGACACCGGTGGACATCAAAACCGTTGATTGCTGAGTTATGGGTATGGTGATTTTTGCTTCTCTCTCTAAAAAAAAGTATAATTTTATCTCTCTATATTTCTGTGAAATGTTTCCAAACTAGGTTCTTTGGGAAAAAAAAACATATAGTATAAGTTTATATTCAAATCTTTTTTATATATATATAAAATTGTGAAGTATAAAATGTGTGCAATTATTTAGGTTTAGATTACACTTAAAAAGTTTGGTTTTTTTTTTTTTTTTTTTTCTCACAGTTAACTCTTTTAAGCTTTTTTTTTTCGGTTTTGTTTTGTTTTGTTTTTTTTTTGTGTATATAAATTCAGTTTTTAAAAAACGGATTTGTTTGTTCACTTAATTTTGTTCGTATGTTATTTAAAATAAAATCCGGTGCTGTTAAAAAAAATCATATAAAATGAGTGTCTTGAGTTTGTATTTTTTTATTTTCTATACTATTATTAAAAGCCAACAACCATTTTGGTATCTTGAAGCCATGCTCTCATAATTTTTTACTAATTTTCCTAAAATAACCTTAACTTCTTCAATGTATAATTAAGGATAAAATCATAAATTATTAACTCACAAAATATAACTTCTCATATTGAATAACTTCCCATGTTCAATAACTTCTTTCAACTTCTATCTTATTTCAACCCCACCATATCGCTTTGCCATCTCTATTGCATGCTTTTGTTCATTTCCCTCTCTTCGCTCCTTCCTCTCCTTCCCTTCTTCTTTGTCCCCAAACCCAAACTACACAGAAAGAAAAGAGAAAAAAGGAAAAAGAAAGAGTAGAGATAACCAAGAAGAAGAAATCAGTTTCCATGGCTGTTGAAGCACACCATCTTAATCTTGATGGCGTTTGTACCCAAGGGAATACAAGTTTAGGCTGTTTGATGTAATTGTTTACGAGAAATATGCTTTAAATTTGAATCATGTATGTATGAGAAATTTTTGTATGGATTATATATATACATTACATTGTAAATTGAAATTTTTGTATGGATTATACACGCACATCCACAATACGAGACCCGTCACAAACACCGAAACCACCACCATCATCATCAACGCTGCGAAGATCGTAAGGCCTACATTTCTCCCCGAAACCAAACACTACGCAATCGCTAACCCCCTCATCACCTCCATCTTCCTCAACAACCATAAGTACCGAATCACCCGGTGGTCATTGTGGTCGTAATCGTAATCGTAATCTACTCTGTTTAACAAAAAACTGTTAGAATAGTTCTTTTAGTTATTTTTGTTCTCTTGTTAATATTTACTTAAGATGAGGGTACGATGGTCATATTGCTACTTTAGGTTTTTTATATATATTTGAGTGATGTAAAGTTGAGGGAATTAATTGGTTTTCAATATATACAAAAGTTCTCTCTTCTTCTTCTTCCTCCTAACTATCAACCCTAATTTCTCCATTTTACATTCTCACTTGGTATCAGAGCCATCTCTTCTTCATTAGAAAGGGTTCTACAGATTCTAAAGATCGATCTGAGGTGACCGAGACGTGCTGATGTCATCAGCCGTACGATGACGTCAGCATGACATAAGCAGTGTACGGACGG